GAATAAAGTCGAGATGGACATAGAAAGCGAGTTGACGATTAGTGTACGTCTGTATCATCGTTAGCCAGCACAATCTCATTGGGATCAGCCACCGTACAGCCTTTCTCGTGTTCTTCTTCATCTTCGAGACGGATTTCGTTGAAATCCACGACGGGACCCGCTGCAGAGCAGGTGTGTAAATGCAGGGCTGGAAAGGAAAACGAGATTATTTACCTTGAGCTCGTCCGGGTGTCGCGTCAAGCAAATACGGCAACTGCAGGAGGTCCAGAAAGTATTCCGTTTGAGGATTTTGGGCATGCCCTGTGGAAAGAACGCCTTTATGTAAGCGAAGTTGGAACCCAATACGCAAGCATAAAAACGTACACATACCAGTAGGACCGGTTAGTTTTCTGTGAGGATCATATATAGGAGCCGTCTGTTGAAACGAAGAAGGAATCAAACTCTTTGTGAGCGAGAGGTTTTCGACCCAGTCCCGATGGATTTTGATGTCTGAACACGCCCTGCCGACATATGGTGTCAAAGATGCACATTAAAAGGGACAAACTTACCGAGTCCTCACAACCCTCTCCAAAGGAAAACACGAGTGATAAGCTCGTGTTATTCCCAGCCATTCTTTGTCATAGGTGACCTCCAATGTTCCGTCGGCCGTGGGAAAATCAAAAACCTTCACAAGAAGATCGACAGTCAGTTTCAATGCTCGAGTTTAACACCAGAGAAACCTGCAGAAACGGGCGACCCGGTAGGCATTTGTCCAACGCTAAGAACTTCGTAGTCTTCTCGTCACCATGCTTTACAATAGCAGCAAACTTGGCATGAAGATGCGCCGAAAACCAATACGACGGTTTCAGATTCAGAAGCACATTTCTGGCAGGCACACTTCCCAAGACATTATCTGCAATCTAAACCGCGAACTCAACACAAAGAAAACAAGGATACCGGCAAGCTGACCTCTTGTTGAAGGAAGGGCTTGTAACGCAAAAGCCCCTGCAAGTCTCCACATTGTGCGATACCTTGAGGCCAGTCGTGCGACATGAAAATGTCGATTGGTTCTTTGATTTGGAGAAGCTTGTGCACATCGTATTCACGGACGTGGAAAACAGAACGTAGCTCATTAAGATTATAAGGAGGCCGCTCAAAATGCCCTGTTACAAAAATTATTATCAGAGACTCCAGAACAAGAGTGAATTACCTCGATGGTAGTCATGCTGCTTATAAATTCCTGACAAGCCACCGATTCTAAGCCCGCCAAACCAGATCACTCCGGCAGCTCCCAGATAATAGATGTTCGGAGCCACCCATCCTCCGTAGTATCTATAAGTTCCAACGTTAAAAGAACGAGCTAGAAAAAAAAAACATAGCTTTTTTCTAGCATGAACCCTTACAATTCCCACAAGTAGTTCGAGGCTTCGTGATTTCCTCCAATAAAAACAGTCGTGCACGGAGCAGTCTCTATTCCAGCGTAATATTTCCAAAAGCTGTTCATAGAGCGATACTTTGGAGGGCAAGCGAGCGACTGAAGATCAAGCTCATTCCTTACGGCCTGCGAAAATTAATCTTTCCTCTTGAGAAAATTTTCGACAGAATATCGACAAGCGAACCTGGAAATCACCACAACACAGCAGCAGATCGATTTTCAAACCCTCGCTGGCCTCCACATGCCTCACAGTGGCGAAAATCTTGTCGAGCTCGCCGTGAGCGCAGCCAACGACGGCGACCTGCAAGAAACACAGCTGAGACAATGCGAGGAAACGCGCCACTCACGCGCATTGTCCGCTTGCTCTCATCCTGGAGCGCCATTCCCTTCCCTCCAGAAAATCGAAGAACCCTAAAAACAAAAACCCCAAGCCACGGCAGCTGCCACGTCGCAAAACATAGTAAATGCACTGCCCGTGACACGTCACCAGCCACGTCATAAAAAGATGTCGTGACAAACCCTACCTAAAAACTCTACACTTGGGGGCGAAGAACATAACAAGGTGAGAGCTTTCTTCTTCAATGCGATGTCCCAAAAAATCTCCTCGATCGAATTCCACTCCAATTCTAGCTCAATTTTCTCACTCTCGCTCCCTGCGAACATCCCGCGATCAGTGAAAGAGCAAAAACAAATCCAGAGCTCACTCACCACTTGAATCTTTGCAGAGAAAAAAAGAGATCTTTCGATGGCTTACGCGAGAGTCGGGAACATCACTGCCGGAGAGCTCAAAAAATTCGATGGAAGCGACCCAACGCTGCCCGTGTGCGTTGCAATCCGGGGAAAAGTCTACAATGTCTCGAGCGCCACGAACTTCTACGGGCCGGGAGGACCATACGCCGTGTTCGCCGGAAAGGATGCTAGCCGAGGACTCGCAAAGATGAGCACCAAGCCGGACGAGGTGAGCGGCCCTCTCGATGATTTGAGCGAGAAGGAGATGACAACCTTACTCGACTGGGAGAAAAAGTTCTCCGATAAGTATCCCGTCGTTGGCGGCATTGTCTCGTCCGGATAAGCAGTGCTTCCAGCGCTGGACGAAGAAGAAGAAGAAGAAGCATCAGTCCAAGTTGCACAGGTAGAAATACGAGAGCTTTCGTTTCTTACTTTCTTTCTTTGTTGTCTCGTTGTTTGTTTTTTGCCCCCTTGTGTATAAAGTCTGTGTTCTAAGTAGTACTAATTGGGAGGACCTGAGAGCTCGGAAGCTATGTTTCGCAGCGCTAGAACTGCCTGCACCTGCATTCAAGTGGAAAACGCTGAGTCAAAAGCTACAAATAATTAAAACAATGGATAAGGCGTGCACCTCTTTTATTGCGCTCGGAACACCTCCTCACAAAACTGTCCGTGTCGTTCTTCGAAACCTGGAATCTGGTTTAGAAAATGGGCATGCGAAGTAGCAGTGGTGGCAAGCTTACTTACCTTTGCAGTTCACGGACAAAATGCCCCTGGCGCCGCAAAACTGTGTGCCTCCTTTTCCTGGTGTCTCCTAGTTAGCTCTTGCTTGGAGGTGACGGCTTGCAATTTGGCTGCGGACTTCTCATTCCCTGGATAGCCGACACCGGTGTTCTCACGGGCATTGCGACTGTAAACTCTCCTGCCCTGGCTTTGGAATAGATATCATAGTCCGTGTCGTAGATCGACACCACCTTTTCCTTTGGTGAGTGGGAGCTGGAAGACGAACTGGCACCGCAATCCCTGGACGAAGAACTTTTCGGAGAAGACGCCAGTGCCTCGAGAAAAGCTGGCGGCTCGCTGTCCTCGGCAACTGTGAGGATCGGACCGTGAGCATGCTCGTATCGTATGAGCTGAAACGCCACCTTGTCAGCGGCAGCCACCATCCCTTTCTCGCATCTCTTTCCCTTCCAAACGTAAAGCTTGCTCGTCGTCTGAACGACAAAAGAGCCGCGAGAGTCGAGAGCATCAAAGCTCGGGTTGGCGACGGTCTTCGGCACCAGATAGAGAGGATCATACGCCGACTGCGGTGCAATCCTGTACATGCTCGTCGTCGACGGTTTGTTCTGAGCACCAATGATCCTGGCTTGCCACTGCATGAGCTGGAAGACGAACCCCAAGTTTGGATTCGTAGAACCTCTGAGCGACTTCATCCGATCGAAAGCCTGGTCGAAATTTTTCCTGTCTCGCCACATCATGTAGGCGATCACCAGCGCAGCGGACCTGGAAACTCCCTCGGAGCAATGCACCAGGACTTGGCAGCCAGCCTGCTCGCGAACGAGCTCCAGGAAATCGAAAACGTCGTAGAGCACGCACACTATATCCTCTGCCGGTGTGTCGTGGAGCCACAGCGTCTTGTACTGGAACTCCTTTGGATAGTACTCGGGGCAGCAAAATCCCACACAGTTGAGAATGTGGGTGATCCGGCAGCTCTGGAGAACAGCGTAATTCTGGGCCGCGGATCTTCCACCCACGAACAAATGCCCGAAGATTTGCGTGCACTGCTTGTCCTTCTCCACGGCCTTCTCCTCCTGCTGCTGCCAGTCCGAGAATTCCAGCGCCTCATCCTCTTCCGGGACAGACTTCTCGATGATCCCCAGATCCAGCTTGATATCCAGGCAGTTCTTCCCCTTCCTCAGCACCTTTTTCCCCTCGCTAGAAACCGAGAGTGACTGTAGAGGCGGACACAGTGTGTGCGTATCCCCATCGCTGTCCGTGTCCTCTCCAATCTCATTGCCACTCTCGGAGCTCTCCTCCGGGGACTGGACCGGCGCGTGACTCGACCATGAGATGGATCGCCATTGGTACCTCGGAGTGGCACAGCTGCTCGTGGACCGCGTCTTGACGAAGCTCTCGGACTTCATCATCCGGCGCCGCCTCGAAATATCCTCGCCTTCGTCGTCCATGGCCTGTGCTGATCGATGATCGCCCTCTCTCAAGCCCAGACTTGGCCGGGCAGCATCGTGCCCCTGGATCGATCAATCCGCGGAGAGAATCAGACCTGGGAGGATGTGACATTCGTCGCCGCTGCGCGCATTGTGCTGCCGGAGCCGTGCGCCGCGATGGATCGGTGGAGGCATCGCCATAGCCGGATTATCGTCGCCGCGCATTGCCGGATCGAAGAAACCCTGGAAGAGAATACTTGTCGCGATGGGAGGATGAAACCCTAGGGCGGAAGAAGAAAAGGCGCGGCATCTAACGGTCAGAGTGGAGCTTTTTATTTATTTCGTTCTCTTTTACCACCCAAGAATCGCAGCCGTTAAGTATCCCCACACACAGAATCTTTTAAACACCTGGATCTTAAGATGAGATTGTTAAACCATTGGACCAAAGATTTACAAACCAATTGATAGTAACAAAACCTTTTTTTCGCCTACATTGCAAACTTGGTCTTCATCTTGTTGATGATAGGAGCAATCTTGGGATTGTTCTCATACTTCGCGAGACTGGAAGGATTTTTCATCACTGCAAAGACCAAGCAAGCCACTTAAGTTCCACTCCAAAAAGATGCCTTTTTTACCGTCTTGAAGAGCGGACATGATCTCTGGATCCTGGAACGCAGCAAGGAGCTCCGGATCCTGTCAAAAGAGGAGATGATCAAAAGATCAATCGATTCGAAGAGGAACTTTGCAAGAAGTTTGCAAGAACTTGGCAAGAACTTTGCAAGAAGCTAGAGCTTACGTTTAGTATCTTGCTCATGTCGACTCCTCCTGGCCCGCCTCCCATGCCGGGCATTCCTCCACCAAAGCCTCCAGGCATTCCACCAGGCATTCCACCACCGAAGCCTCCTCCCTGAGGCATTCCACCGCCAAATCCTCCAGGCATTCCACCAGGGAAGCCACCACCACCACTCGGAGAAGTTGGCTTCTTTGCTCTCTCGTAAGCAGCCTGTTCAATTCAAATCCATGGATTAGAAACATGCCAGGAAAAACGAGAGGCAAACAAAGAAAAAGAGCTATGGAGTTTCTTTCGAACCTGAGCCTCTGCTTTGCGTCGCTGCCTCTCCTTCTCAGCCTTCTTCTCGGCACTTTCCTTGTGAAGACGCTCGTATTTCCTGCGGTGCTCTTCCAGCTTGTGAGCGTTTGGTTCCACCTACAAGAAAGTTCCATAGAAAAGTTCGTAAGCATCGAGAGTTTTGGTGCGTACCTTCTTAAGCATGGCGGCTATCTCCTCGTCATAGTCGAGTTTCGAGGCTACGTGTAAGTCCTTTGCAGCCTCTTCCCACTGTCCCAGTAGAGCTTTTGCTTCTCCCCTCCATTTGTAGCCCCGAGCCGAATCCGGATTCAACTACAAAGCTTCAAATGGTTAGACACAATTGCGAGATTAAAAAAGAGGGTTTTACCTTCAAAGCAGCATCAGCATCTCGGATTGCAGCGTTTGGCTTTTTCATCTTCACGTAGATACCAGCTGAAAAGAGGGAAAGTAAAACAAACACGAGACTTATCTTTTTGTGAGACTTTACATTACCTCGGTTGGCATAGAGCAGCGCAGATTTAGGATTGCTCACAATCGCTTCAGTTAGATATTTCACGCCTTCATCAAGATCACCTTTAAAAGCAGAAGAAAAACGTAATGAAAAATACCAACACAAGGTCGAGAAAAACTCGTGGCAGTATACCTTCAGCAATCGCCTCCAAGGCCTTGCTCTTGCAAAGCTGCGCATTGTCTTGCATTTCCTCCGTCACCTCGATAGAAGAATCACCCATCTGAATAAAAAAGAGACAACGTTTTTGCTGGAAGTAAGAAATGAAAGATTGCTACCTTCTGAGGAGGATCGTTGTCAGCGGGAACAATCCCATCTTCGTCGAGCTCAACCTCCGACTCGATGATCTCGGGTTCCTCCTCCACTTCAACCTTTGGCTTGTTACCAGAAAGTTCTTCAAGCTCTGGCATGTCTTCGTCGCTGTCTTGTGCAGCAGCAGCAGTAGCACCGGATGGAACTTTTGCTCCCAAACTGCATCCATTGTATCACAAGACGAGAAAACCAAAAAAAGACAAACAAAACGAAAGAGAACTGTTCTCAAGCATCCAGCCATGAAAAGAAAAACCAATCACAAAAGCTACATTCGTGTTGTGAGACACAATCGAAAAATCGATCACAACAGAAATGAATCGAGAGGAGATTCACAACAAAACGCGAAAGGAAAAAGCAAAAGAAGAAAAGACAAGAAACCAAGAACTAGAGCTCTACCTTTCCAAGTAGTTTCTAAAGAATCGCAGCTGGGGAAGATGGAGCATGGCTGGATTCGCCTCGATCATCTGCACGAATTGCTTGAGCTCGGCGATCTTCGCTGCATCCATGGCGATTTTGCTCCCCAAAAACCCTAACTTCTCATAAAACCCTAAAGTGGATAACGCTGCTAATTTTACAAGCAGAAAAATGCCAACTTTTTAAAACCATGCGACGACTTTTGGGCGGTGGTCGCACCTTTGACTTTTGGTCCCTCTTTGCGAACTTGCCAAAGGAAATTTAACAAATGGTTTCTTGGCGATGACCCACGACCTCTGCCGCAGTAGCAGCAAAATCCCAACTTTTTTCTTTGTCTCTTTCCACAATCCACTTCTTTGCTTTCGTTCTTGCAAGCTCCACAAAGTTTTCTAGATTTCAATCCATCACTAAATCCTCTCCAATTGCCCTCTCTCTCTCTCTCTCTCTCTCTCTCTCTCTCTCCCTCTCGGATGAACAGTATGATCAACAAAGATGATCCTCCTCCCCTTCCTCTCGATCATCGCGACCCAATTGTCGCCATCCAGTTCGAGCTCAAGCGCTTGCGGCGCTCCAGTGTTAGGCTCCGGCGGGCGCTGCTAGGCCTCAGCGCCGCCTTCCTGGCACTAGCAGTGATCGTGGCCGCCATCGCTGGCTTGCAGGGCACCAAGATCTCGAGCCTGGACGATCGCCAAGGTCTGATTTCCAATCCCAACGTCGCCTTTGCGTCGAGAACTGGAAGGAAGAACTTGAATGGCCTCACCTATGGCGGGAGCTTGTTTCGAGGGAGTGGATTCTGGGCCATGAAACCGAGGTTACCATGTAAGATGATCTCTCTCTCTCTCTCTCTCCCAAGAAGATCTCGGACTCCATCTCGGCTAGTTGCGATTGTCTTTCTCATTCTCGTTTTTCTACAGATAATTTGGCCGATCACGCAGCTATTGGAGTGGATCCAGACGAGCTCATCTTTATAATTGGAGGATCTCTCGTAGATGGAAATGTGACCAGCGATGTTTGGAAGTATGACACGGTGTTTCGAAACTACACAAAGGTGGCGCCAATGCCTGAGCCTCGTTATCGGTTTGGGGCGGCTTTGCTTGATAGTAAGAGGTGCTCTAAACTATTGGAGATTAAGTTTGATAGGTGGTGTTTTGCTTTGGTTTTTTTTTCATTGTGACATACAGAGAAGATTTACGTTGTTGGTGGAAGAAATAGTTCGAGTCCAGAAAATATTGCTCTGGTGAAATCCACGCTTATTTACGACATCGCTAAGAATGAATGGAGCCGTGGAACCGATCAGATCGATTTTCATGGAGATACTTGCGCTGCCAGTGTCAATGGCAAGGTTTGTATTTTTTTAATAAATTTTTATATATTTTCAATATTATTTTAATTCCAATGTCAACGCAGATTTATGTTGCTGGAGGCTATGGATTCGATTACAACTTTCTAAACAGCGTGGAAGTCTATGATCCCGCCAAGAACCAATGGTCCAAGGTTCCAAACATGCCAACGCCACGAGGAGATCTTATGTGCGTAAGTTTTATGAACGAACTCTACGTTCTTGGAGGCTACTATGTAAGTTGGATCAAACCTCTCAAAGTTTTTACTTTCAAGTTTTTTACTTTTGTTTCATCAAGGATCCCACGAACAAAGGTGGCAATGCGTTTTTAGCCGCAATGGAATCGTTTAATCCTACCACTGGGCAGTGGACAAAACGACCAGACATGTTAACACCGCGTGGTGACGCAGTAAGTTACTATCCCATTTTCACTTGAAAAAGTAACTTTTGCACTAGGCTGCGTTGGTTCTTCCCGGGAACAAACTTATGATCGTCGGAGGCGAGGGCCATTACCGCGAGAAGGATATTTTCAAGTATCCCAAGCACGTAAACGAGGTAACTTTGGAAGTTCTCTACGTTTTCTCGAGCTTGGCTTGGATGATCTTTTTCGCTTTCAAGGTGTTCTATGGAGACGATCAAACTTGGGTCCAAAAAGCTATGATCCCAACGCCGAGATTTAGGACCGCTGGAGCTGTCGCTGGCGGAGTAGCTTTCGTTTTTGGAGGAGCCGACGTTTGCATCGCGGTGGATATCTGTCCCGTGCAAAACACCACCGAGACTTTCCTGGACGTGGATCATCCTCGCGTCTATCTGTATCTGAAAAACGAGGCATACAACGATAACTCGGAGAGCACTACTTATCCTGTGTGATGCGAAGAGAGGCATAGGAAAGCTTTTACCTCTCTCGCTCTCGCTAGCTCGTGTAAAAAGTTCTTACCAGAGCGTTCATAAAATAGTTACAGAGCTGACGCTCATTCTCACATTTTAGAGGCTTTAGCAACAGCCAGCCCTGCAAAGAGAGGAGAAAAGGAACGGCTTTGTGAGCTATGGTGGAAGTTACTATCAGACACTTACCCAATGCTTTCGCATTAACAATGCTCGGGCACGCCATTGGTGGCCGAGTCTTCTCATCCAGAAATGGGACGACATTATTGGGATCATGCCATACTGGATATCCTTTCAATTTCCCCTGGTGTCATACGATTCACGCAAATTATTAGCTGATAACTGCGCGAAGGGGATGTGTCCTTACGAGAACGTTGAGCGCTGCAAGCGTGGCCATGCCTTCCCTTGTCCACTGTAAATGAAAATTTACCACGTGATCGTTTCAGTCCCAAGAAATTCAACGATGGAAAGGCTTGACACCTTGGATGCTGATGCAATGTGCGGCACCACAACGGCGTTTGGCATCTCTGCTAGGCCGGGCTTCATAAAGGGCTCGTCCTGATAAGTTTTTTTGGTTGATGGTTAGCCACAGTAAAAGTATTCACGGGCTGTCTACCTCAAAAACATCAAGTCCCGCACGAAACATTGGGTTGGCTTTCAGATGTGCAACCAAGGCCACCTCATCAATCACTGGCCCCCTGCTTGCGTTGATTAATATGGCATCCTGTAGCAAGCAGTTAAAAATGTTTGCATGAGGTACTTTTCGTGCGTATAATATGTTCACCTTTTTCATGATTGAAAGCCTTTCCGTGTTCATCAGATGGTATGTTGTTTTGTCAAGTATTGGATGTAGACTCACCTGGACAAGGATCATAAAGCCATTTTATCAGTGTGATGGAATGAAACTGGACAGACCACATCCGCCTCTCTAAGAACGTCTTCCACCGTTGCAGCTCTTTTCCAAGTGACCGGAGTCTCTCCTTGGGACTTGAGAAACTCTCCATACGCTGCATGAAATGGTTACTGTTTGTTCATTACTGTCGAGTGATGAGATCTGGCATTCTCACCTGTGACAAATTTCTCCAGTCTCGTAGACTGATAGAGATCGTAGTAAATGACATCCATCTTAAACCCTTCAACCTGCACTCGAAAGCAATAAAAAAATACCGCACAAGCTTTCCGGAAGCAATGATACCATCATTCGTGCATAGGCCGATCCAATCCTCCCAGCACCGATGATTCCAACAGTTTGTCCCTTGAGCAAGTTCCCAATGAATCTGCAAGCAGGGACGCTCACACATCAGTCAAAACAGCACCCGGGAGCACAATGTACCTGCAAATTTTCATTTGGATTTTTTTCGGTCGCAGACAAGACTTACAAGGAGGGAAGCCATCCTTTGTATTTCCCAGCTCGCATAAACGAGTCCGCCTCCACAATTCTCCTGGCAACAGCCAGCGTTAACGAAGCGGCAAGCTCAGCTGTCGTCTCGGTGAGAACACCCTGTAAGATCATTAAATGATGTTGTTACAAACTCACAGAGAGATCTT